TTTTTTTTTAATTTCAAGAATTATGAGTCTTGCATAAATTTTACGTGCGATGTTCATACAATTTATGCAAACAACCATAGTTTTAAATTTACAAGTCACACACTAACTATACACACTGTATGCATAATTTTGGGCAAGTATTAGTTCCTCACATTTAAAGTATCAAATTTTATTAGAAATGTGTGATCACAACTGATATAATTACATACACACGACCATAGTTGACTCGAGATTTTCATATCCACCCCACTCCAGGGTTTTTGATTAGGCTACTAGATCTTGAGAGTAGTTACATGCAGTTATATTTCAATTGTAGAACTGGTTTACTTTTCACTACGGCAACTGGGCTAACACGTTAATGTGGTTATGCAGGCTTTTCGGAAATATAAAGAAGGAAGAGTTACTGAGATGATAGACCCTCTGATGGGCGAACGTATAGATAAGGAAATTCTTGTGAAAATGTTTCGTTTGGCGATCAGATGTGCTGCCCCTACACGTGTCGATCGTCCAGACATGAAAACAGTGACTGAACAGTTATGGGCAATTAGAAAGGATTATCTGAAAACTGAAGGGAGGGCCTCATGAAAAATATAGCTTAGGTGGTTGTGAAAGTAAAAAAAGTTGTACTTGAGTGCATTTGGGGAAAGTTGGAGTCATCATATTCTTGTAGAGTGATATCATCAGTTTTAGATTGATTGCCAGTTGAAGTTGTGAAGGATGTTTTTATGATTTTGAGTATGTCACTATCATCAGTCGATGAATGTCCCCCCCAATTATTTGTTCCGAAACCATTTACCTAGAAAATGGTCCTTTTAAGTCGAGGGTTGATCTTGTGTTAGGCAAACCAAATCATTAGGCGGCGTACTCTTTTTAATAATTCGAGTACTTTCATTAGAAAATATCATACTTAAATATGCATCTATAAAGAAAAGTATAATTGTTATTTTTATTCATTTTATTCCTTTTCTTTCGCGAACTCAAAACCCTCGTCTTCTTCGCTCAATCTCACGCCGGTTGGAGCCTCTTTCGGTGGTCGTCCGGGCTCGCTGGTGGACGGCTCTCCCG